GCAGCGGCTTGACGGGCGGATCGCACGAGAGCTACGTCCGCAACATCCTCGCAGTCGTGACACGACCGAAAGAGGAGGGCGGGCTGGGCTGGCGAGCAGCAGTCGTCAACTCGCGAGGCTGTGCAAACTCGCCCGTCACCTCACGGCAACTCTACAAGTGCGTGCTATCCTTCCTACGCTTCAAGCCGCAGGGCTGACCTTTTCTTTCGCAGCGGCGCAGTGACGGACGACCTTCGTTCTGCGCTCACCTTCCTCTCGCACTTTGCGCCCGACGCACCCCTGTACGGCATCGGCTTCTCCCTCGGCGCAAACCAGCAAGCCAAGTTCGTTGGCGAAGAAGGCGCAGACTGCCCCTACAACGCCGCCATCGTCCTCGGCGCGCCGTTCGACTTCTGGAAGGGCCACGTCGCGCTGAGCTCGACGTGGCTGAGGAGTATCTACAGCCGGGCAATGTCGTCCAACTTGCGGAGGCTCGTCAAGCGCCATGAGCACGTCTTGAAGGGCGACCCGCGCCTTGACTGGGACGCCATCTTCAGTAACCCGAACAGCACGCTCTTCGAGTTTGACTCGCTCGTCACCGCGCCCCTCTCAGGCTTCGTGCGTTTATTGCCTCTCATGCTCAACATCGCGCGCTGAGCCTCCTTCGTTCGCAGAAAACCGCAGTCGAGTACTACCGCCACGCCTCAGCCAGCAACGTCCTACACCACGCCACCGTCCCAGTCCTCGCTATCTCCGCACAAGACGACCCGATCGTCTGCTCCGGCGGGATCCCCTTCTCGGCCGTCGAGTCGAACCCGAACCTCATCTTCGCTCTGACGATACACGGCGGACACCTCGGGTGGTTTGAGGGCCTGTTCCGTCCGAGGAGGTGGGTTGCGAAACCGGTTGTGGAGTTTTTGAGGGCAGTACACGAGGCGAATCCGGAGAAGAGGCAGATGAAGGAAACTGTGCCAGCTCGCTCCGCGCGGAGGCCACAAGTCGGGGACGAGATGGTGCTGCTCAAGGGACGGGAGGACGTCGGGTTCAAGCGTGTTGGAGTTGAGGATCATCAGGCGAACGGCGACGAGGCGGTAGACGGAGATAACAAGCTCACCCAAGGACTCTAGACACACAACATAGACTACTCTATCCCGACTGTATCCTCGCAATAGATCTTGCAAACTGTGATGCTACAACAACGAATGGCTGGCGCTCGTAGTTGAGGGTTAGGCGAACCGGACGCCCTTCTTGCCCTCTGAGACGGGAGCAGCGGGTTTCGGCGCCTCTGCTTCTCGCTTCTTGTCCTTTTTCGCCTTTGTTCGTGCCGCAACGACCGCTCGTGCTGCAGCCTGCGGTAGAGCGTTGTTAGCGGACGAAGCGGAGGGGAGGATCTAGACGTACCAGCTGCTTCTCCTTTGCCTCGTTCACGTGCTTCTTCGTCTCCTTCGGCTGCGGCGCAGGGCGGTTCTTCTGAAGGCGTAAAGAGACGTCAGTACGGCAGAATGAAAGCAGGAAGAGCGCGACGCACCGCTCGCTCGAGCTTCGCCTGGCTCTTTGCCGCCTGCTCGCCCGAGATGGACGCCGCGAGGGACAGCAGGTCGCTCTGTAGGTTTTCTACGTCATTTCCAATGAGCTACACGCGCAAAGAAAGCGGTCCTGCGCACCTTTGCCTCGACAAAGGTCTTGACCTTCTTGCCCGTCCCTCCAGTGGGCTTCCTCGTCGCCTTGCCCTTCGCCGGAGGTTCTGGTACGGGTGCTACCTCCTCCTCCGACTCTTCCGTCTCCTCCTCTACCCGCTCAGTCTCGTCCAGCCCTCCCCACTCCTCCACATCGCTCATCTCAGCTCGACCATCCTTCCCCTCTGTCGCGCGTCTAGGACCGCCGCCGGGCGCGCCGCCCTTCTTCCGTCCAGGTCCGCGCCTCATCTGCTTCCCCAGCGTCTCGCCCCGACGGTACGGCAGCCCTCTGCCTCCTCCTCCTCCCGCATCCTTCTTCCCGCCTTTCGACCGCGGCCTGTTCGGCCCGAATCCCATTGCCGTCGTTTACCGCGAGTTATTGGACTGTAGCGCGAAGCTTCGAGGAGCGGATCAAGCAAGTGCGGGAGCGAGTGAGCGAGAGGCAATATGGCGAGAAGGGGAAGGGAGGCGAGCGAGATGGCTTCCGCGTTCAATGCCAAGCTTTGGCTCGAGATGTGCCGGAGGTGGAATGCAATCAAGCGCATCCGAAGCGAGCGCCGGAGAGATCGAGCGGAAGCAACTCGCCGCCGACGCAACGACGAAGAGAAGGGGATGCGAGAGAGGTCAGGTTTTGCAGAGGCAGCCTGGGTATACACGTCAGAAAGGCTACATGAATGCGGCAATGATAAAGAGACTCGATGAGATGATGGGGATACAGCGGCACTCAAGTGAAGACGACAGGATGACCGGAAACGACGAGACAACATGGGAGGGAGGCGGGAAACGCAGGGAGGGACGACTATCACAAGGAGATAGAGGCGCCGTCGTACAGGCTCGATGTAGGCTGCGTCCGGCGCGCCTTGTCGATGTTGCCGAGCGTGAAGTAGCCCTTGCCGGACTCGTACGCCGCGCGGAGGAACGACGAGGACGGCTTTGCCAGTGGTCGGTTGACCTCGATGTACTGGTAGGATGGTCGTCGTGCGGGCGACTCGTCGGCGGAGACGACCGAGATGCCAGGATACCGCGGAAGTTCGTCCATAGGCGTGATGGGCGAGGCGGACGATGCAGACGAGTGCGAGCCGGCGGGCGAAACCTCGTAAGGTGTGCGCGACATCGAGTCGCGGCGAGAGGAGCCAGGAGTGGCGAGGCTGGCGGCGGCGCGAGAGACGCGGCGAGGCGGAGTGCAGGGGACGGGGACGTTCTCGACGACGGTGGGGATGTGGATGGTTGACTGGACGCGAAGATTCGAGGTCGAGGCGACAGGCTCGCGAGGAAGGAAGGGGTAGAAATGCGCGAGGAGCTCCGCCTCGTCCATGCGGAGGTCAAAGTCGAGGAGGAAGAGGAGCTGGCGCTCCATCAGGTTGACCTCGGCGATGGGGAAGATGGCCGCGTAGCGAGTCCAGTGCTTGTTCTTGGGCGACGAGTCGTTGAGGTACTTGGCGGCCGTGATCAGCGTCGCCAGGAAGACACGATGCCGGGTCGACTCCATGCCGTGCGCGACCTTGGGCAGGCGAGCGCGCAAGCGGTCGAGGTAGACGAGGGTGCAGAGGAGGGTGGGGACCTGGACGTTCGACTTGTGGACGAGGATGGTGATGAAGGCTTCGAGCGAGGGAACGTCGGGGTGCGGTTGACGGTGGATGTCGGCAAAGTTGGTCTTGACAGGCGTGGTCGGGGGCGAAGGGGGCTCGTCTGGCGCAGGACCGCAAGTGATGACGTCGACGGCGCGCTCAACGATATAAGCTGTTGACAGGACGACCGATGGTGAGCAAGCGAGGCGAAGTCAAGAAGGTCTGGCGAAGACTCACTGATCATCTCGGGGGTCACAGGCGAGCGAACGAGTTCGAGCAGTCGCGGGTCGTGCATGAACTTGGGCAGAAGAGAGGCCGGATGCCGCCGAGTCGACGACTGGGAACGCGAAGCGTAGTCCATGGCGAGCGTGAGAACGCGGAGCTGGATTTGGGTGGACGGAGGATGGCGTCGAAGGGCGAGGGGCGTCCGCCTGGAACTGCAGTGAGGGTAAGGAGCGAAAGGAGAGAGCTGCGATTGAAGGGAGACTATGAGCGAGGCGAGATGAGCTGGAGGAGCCACACGCCCAGGCTGCTCGACCTGCTCTCACCCTCGGAACAGGCAAAAGACTGGTCAAACTCTATGAGCTCGTCAGGAACGCATGAGCTTATGATTTGGAGCCGGCCAGCCGACTGCAACCTTTTGCGAGAAGGGCAAGTGCCTCGCGCGAAGCGGGCGGCGACGCCGGGCGACGGTCAGGAGGGCTTCGAGACGGCTGGCGTGGCGCAGTCGATCACTGGAACGGCTGCAGGAAGAGCATCCAGAAGCACGGCGGATCGAGACCATGATGTCGAGTGTAGATCCGCTTCGGGAAAGATGGCGGTCGCCTTGCGCGGATGAGTTGTATGGGCTGCCTCGCTCTGCGCTGATGCGCGAGAGGCCCAGATTGCGCGGCAACGAAGTTGATCTTTCGTCCGGGCGGTCCGGCAGGCATGGAGAGTCGAGAGCAGGCGCGAGACAAGCGAGTTGCAAAGCTCACTCTGCGTAGACGGCAAGTAGGGCGTCGCTGACTCCCTGTCGAGGCACGATGGGCAGTTCGCCGGTCAGCGAATTCATTATGCGATTGCGACGGGGGAAGCGGAAGATCGTGCGAGTGCGCGGGACGCGACCGGAGAAGCGAGGAGGACTGGACGCACCGACGGGGTCATCACGCCGATGTCGCTCACAATCAGCGTAATCTGGACACGGCGAACTCGGGTCAGTCGTTCCGAGCGCCTCGTACGAGCGAGCCAAGCGCGGCGAGAAGGCGCGACGAACATGATCTGGAGTCGTGTAGTCGAGAATCGGGTTGTGCCGGGTCGCTTCGTCGCTCATCTCCAGCGGTTCAGGCATTCTGCTGTGGATCATTGGTCGTACGGGCGTAGGCGGGACGCCAGTCGACTTGGTCGAGACGGGGTCGTCGAACTCCGGAAAGGCGAGTGGTGCGGACGGAAGGCTTGACGGGATGTCGTACTGAGAGAGGGGGCTGCACGAGCGGACGTCAGTAAGGTCAAGCGGGAGATAGCGAAAGAAAAAGGCGGACAAGAGGCGGGTGAACTTGAACGACTCCGCCAGCGCTAGCGGTGAGAAGATGGAAAATCAGAACAGTTCCGAGTTTGCTGCGTTGTCTCGCGCACGCACCGTAGAAGGGCTTGCCCATCGCCTTGGCAGCAATCGCCATCTGGTAACCACCGATCTGGTCACGAGAGGGGTCAGTTATCGCTCACAAGGACGGAAGACCGCCTGGACACACGAAGTTGACCAGACCTCCGCTCTCGCAGACGGCTTCCGCGCCCACCACTGCGAGGTCGCATTTTGACATGATGTAGGCAACGGCCGAGTCGAGGACGACGATGCAGGGAATGCCCGCTTCCGTCAGAACAGCATGCGTCTTTAGCCCGAGTCCGAACTGTCGACGCGAACGAGGTATTGTGAGAAGACGTTGTTGAGCGACGGTGGACCACAAAGGCGAAGCGAAGGTGAGAGGCGAACGAGAGGAGCGAGGTCAGCAAAGGAGCATCTGCAGGTGAAAGTCAAGACTTGCGGGTCGCGACTCGGTCACATACACCTGGAACCGCTTCTTCTGCGTCTGGGCGGCGAAGAGGAGCGCCTGGATGACGACGCGCTGCGGATCGGGAGAGGTGTAAGCGAGGAAGACAGTCGGTGGAGGGAAGAACCGACACTGTAGCTGTGCACCAGCAGAGTCTGCGGGAGGACAGTCAGCCTAGGGAAGTCGTAAAATGCACCTCATCACAACGCACGTTGCCATCCTGGATGAAGTTCGACATGTGCGCCGCAATTGTCGCGCGGCACTTCCCACTATCCCGCACAAACTCCCGCGCCCGTGACACCAGCTCGGCCTTGAACTCGCGGAAGCTCATTTCGGGGGGTGGTCGTTGCAGTGTGAGGAAGCGGAGGAACAGGGAGGTCCCGGACTGGGCGGAGACGGGGTTGAAGGAGGAGGCAGCGATCTGGGCGGAGGCCTGGCGGAGGAGGGCGAGGAGTTCCTGGATGGTTGACGAGTCTGATCGCGACACAAGTTCTGCCAGTGCCTCCACAGCTGCCACCGGCGCCGGCATGGGCTGTCAACACGGCGCAGAGGTCAGCTTGTTCGCGAGGAGGACGAGGGAGTCAAACTCACGTCGTCCCGCTCGAGCAGCGCGCCAAAGTGCTTGACGACATCGAAAGACTGAGCAGAGGGCGTCACGAGTGGGGCGTCTTCGTCCACAGCGGGGAGAGCCATTGTCGGCGAGCAGGTCGAGCGAGAGATGAAAGTGATGAACTTGGCTCAGACCACACTGCTCCACAAGGCTCCGCGCTGCTTGCAAGACTGTCTGCTGCTTTGATATACCTGCTACAGCCTGCGACGTCCTCGAACGAGCCCCGCACGTCCGGCCAATCCTTCTCTCGTCTCCCCACTAATACTCCTCGACTCGGGACAGTCTCGCTCGTCCTGTTCGCGCCACGCTAGACACGCTTGATGGATTCGCAGGGTACTGAACGGGCACGACGGGCGACTGCCGAGCAGATCAGGCGGCTAGCGGGCTTCTCGACTTGCGAGGTGCATGTCGCTTCTCCTCCTTGATTCCGCTGCCTGACCAGATTGGTGCCGCTCTTACAGATCGCAGATGCTCTCGTCAAGCTCAAGCATCCGAGCGGCGGATATGTGCCCGACCTCGAGCGCTTCAGCGGAAGCGAGAAGGGAAACTTGGTCGGCGAAGTCTTTACGGTCGAGGTGAGCTGCACGACTGTTTGAGCCTCTCTTGCGTCGCTGATAAACGCACACTTGTTCCTGCAGATGGTTGACGGCCGAGCTACGGACGCGCCGAAGCTCGAAGGGCACTTTGTGCGTTGCTCGAACCCGCTCAGTACGCTACTCACGCCCAGACTGATAATTCACATGAGCCAGGTCGACCAGGCGACCCCCGACACCGTTCTCTTCATCTCTACGCCTCCGCGTATGTCGACGTCGTCCGCAGCTGCCGTGCGCTACGTGCTGACTCTCGCAAATCCCGCTTCAGACGCCAGGAGCGCCTCGCTGGGTGGGCTCCTCGCGACTGCTCTGCACAAAAAGGGCGTTCGCGGTGTCGTCACGTCAGGCCGGTGTCGAGATCTGGCAGAGCTGCGGGCGCTCGACTTTCCTGTACGTTGGCTCGGAACGTGTCTTACTCGTTCTGTCTCGTTCTGTGCCGTCTGTTCCGCTCGAGCTACGCCTCCCGCTGACAACCACTCTCGCAGGTCTTCGCGCGCGGCCACTCCATCCTCGGCCAGTCGCCCTTCACGCGCCCCTCCCGACTCCAAGTCCCGCTCACTATCGCGCCTACCTCGTCCTCCTCTTCACCCGACCTCGACTTCCCGGCAACCACAGTACACCCCTTCGACGTCGTCCTCGCCGACCTCGACGGCGTGGTCGTCATTCGACCGGACCTGCTTGAGGAGGCGATGGAGCTGGCCGCGAAGGGTCGTGAGGTGGATGAGCGGTGCAGGCAGGATTTGTTGGAGGGCAAGGGCGTCAAAGAGACGTTCAAGAAGCATCGGGGGAAGTAGAGGTGCGCTGTACGGGCAGTGTGCAGCGCTTCGGAGCAGGGATATCGGTGTTGACGTTTCCGTTCCTTTTCTCGCCCATCGAGTTCCTACCGACGGAGTCCGCTGCCGGCCCGGTTACGTGGTCTCACATTGCTTGCTAGCCTGTCCTGCCTGCGGCCAACGTAAGTGTAGACGTGCGAGGAGGTGGAGGAGAGGGGTGACCTTCTCAACCTCGTCTCGCCGCCTTCTGCCGCCTCGCAAGCTGTTCGGCCTGCTAAGACGTTTCTTCCTAGTCTCCTGTAAAGCTACGTTTTGATACGCTCGAAGCCCGCAGCGCGGCTGGCTGGTCGTTGCTAACCGGACCTTCTCTTCCTCCTCCGTCTCGCTCGCTCTGCTCCCGCTTGGCTGTCCTAGGCGCCCGAGATGCCGCTTCCGCCTGCAGAGTACCTTCTGTGCGTGCAGGCGTCGCCTCCGAATGCACCGAGGCCCTTAGTCACTGACGTCGCCTCGACAGCACCTCGCCCGCTCAACCCGGTCTGTTCGCCTTCGTGACCATCGCCGGACAGGCTGCCAAGCTCCACCGCACTTCTGACGGTGACTACATCGAATGCGTCCTTGGCGAGCCATTCCAGGTCACGTTCGTCGACAACCGCATGACTTCGCCTGGCCATTCGTACGAGGTGACGCTCTGGACGGATGGCGTTTAGTGAGTGCGACGCTCACGTCCGTGGGAGCTGACGGGACTGACATGTCAACACTCCCCGCAGCGCTAACCGCCGCGTCGTGAGGAGCAACGACCCGCTCTTCCAGACTCCGCTCGGCGATTCGAGCCGCGTATTCCTCTTCAACGGGCAGATCGAGTCGGCGGTGAGTTGTAGCCCAAGGCCTTGAGGGGACCGACGCCTGACGATTGATGCACGCAGACTACCGTCCGCCAGCTCGTCTTCCGAGCGGTCAAGACCCTCGACGACGACGGCCAGTGCACCGACCAGAACCTCGCGAAGGAAGTTGGCCGGATCGAGCTTTGCTACATCCGCGTCCGCAACCTCCAGAATATCGGATGGATCGAGCCGTCCTTGCGCAAGTTGACGAGGCGTGTTTGGGCGGAGGAGGCCAAACCCGCCGGCAGCTGCTCGACCGAGTGAGTCCTCTCGGGCTCTCGCCCTCTTGAACAACAGATCCTGACCAGACGTCGATTACAGACCCGGCAAAGTCCTCGCGGTCGGCCCTCAACGCTACAACGGCTACGACCGGATCGACCCCGAAGACAGCCCTTTCTTCTCGCTCGCCGTCCGCTACGAGACACGTGAGATGCTCGAGCTTCTTGGCGTCATCCGTACGTAAGCGCCTTGACTCGCTAGCGTGACATCGCTGACCTCGCCTTCCCACGAAAGGCGCGGACAAGCAGGAGGACGATGAGCTCGTCGTACTCAAGTGGACAACCCTCGACTCGACGAACGCACTCGGAGGGCGGGGCGGGGCGAAGGCGGGAAAGAGGAAAGGAAAAGCGGCGAAGGAGGCGAAGTCGGTCAGGTTTGCCGCCATTACGGTCGACTCGGACGACGACGCAGACGGAAGTGAGGATGTCATCGTCCTCAGCTGAGCGCTAGGCGGTGCGAAGTTGAGGGTGGGAGGTCGGCTTGCGTGCGGAGACGCTTTATCTCCTTGCTTGTCTTGCTCGTCGGCCGCTGTCTGTTGTAGGCGGCTTTTGGGCGATCTCTAGCTATACTACTACTTCCGTCAGCCGTTGCGTCCTGTCTGCTGGAGAGACGCAGCTCTCCTACCTCGCCGCGACCAAGCCGAGCCTCAACATGCTGGTAAACCCTCTCCGGACGGAAGAGCAACGTCGCGACGAATGGCGCTTCGATGCCACTGCCCCAAGCTCAAAAACGGTACCGCACACTGCCCGGCTTCCCCCGTTCCCTCCGTTCCCGCCGCTCCCTCTCCCTCTCCTCCTCCGTCTTCCCTCTCCGTCCACCCGCCGTACCACCTACAGCGTTCGCGTCATTCTCGCTCTTCTCCCGCTCTTTCTCAGCCTTCTCCTCAACCCGCAGACGATCCTTCTGGTCCCGCTCGTCGCGGATCCTGCCCACCTCCGCAAGCCCGTCCGACAAGCCCTGCCACCGTTTCGAGCGATGCAGCGTGACATCGTCGCCCTGCTCCACCGCTGAAATGGCTTCTTCCCGATCGCGCTTGCCGTTCGCCAACGCAGCCGCAGCCGCACGAGCTCTGCGGAGCTGGATCTTGATGCCCATCAAGTCGTTCGCCGAGATAGGCTGGCCTAGTAGGTCCGGATGTGAGAAAACGTTCGGTACGCCCGTCTGGAGGAGGTGACGGTCTCGTTCGCTCGTAGCAACGGGTATGGAGCCGCCGGCGGAAGAGCTGGTTTGCGAGGGTTCGGCGGGAGAGACGGGCGAGAAGAGCGGTGAGGTGTTGAGTGGTACGGAGAGGCCGTTGGCGGTGGCAGAGGCTGCTGTCGGTGAAGGTGGGCAGAGCGAGATGAGGAGGTTGAGGAGCGTCTGTGCGATATCTGCGGGCAGGAAGGTCAGCGCCTGACATCCGGTGGCCGAAGTCTCTCGCCACCCGCCCCGGTCTCCAGTCGAGAGTACGCACCGTCAATGTCGTCCTCGAGGGTCTCGCAACTCGACGCCCAGCCTTGCAGCACGTCTTCGTCCCAGACGACCTCGTCCTTCTCGCCGATTTCGTTCTTCGAACCGTTCTCCGCCTCCTGCCGCGCAGCCGGAATCGCCAAAATGAACCCAGCAGTCCAAATGCACGCCGCTGCACACGTATGAGGCGGATACGAGAGCGGTGCGAGGGTGCGGTGGAGGTCGGTGAGGAGGAGGAAGGCGGCGTAGATGAGAGACTTGTGCATCTCGTCAACGGTCGAGGCTGACGATGAGCGGACGAGGGCGGGAGGAACGGAAGGAAGGGCGGACGAGAGGCGGAAGAGGTGTGTGAAGGCATCGCGGGAAGTGGCGGCAGATGTTGAGGGAGACAAGGTGGCGAGCGCGAGGAGCGAGTCGGTATCGGAGGGTAGTGTGGGCGAGGAAGGAGACGAGTCGAGCGGGCGGTTCAGGTTGAAGTTAAAACAAATGGTCTGGAGGATGAGGCGTTCGATGCCGATCAGGTGTGGTCGATGCGCTTCCTGCGTCTGTAGTGGACAGTGTCAGTGTGCCCATGCACGATGGCGGGAACGATCTCCAGGATCAAGAGACATCGCCCTTCCCTGAAAGCGTCCTCGACCGCCAGGACTTACGTTAGGGTCGCCCTCACCTACTCCGCTTCCGCCGTCCATCATGTTCTGGACCTGCCACGCAGCAATCTGAATGTCTCGCAGTTTCTTGAGCGTGTCCTCGAGCTTCGCCGCGACGAGCAGAGCCGAGAGGGAGACGTCCTACAAGTCCAAACTCGGTCAGAACGGCAGAAAAGGGAGGGGAAAGAAGGACCGCCCTAGGTGCGCACCTGGTACGCAAAGTCACTGAGAGGGAAGTGAAGGTGGAAGCGGTGATACAGCTTCTGAGCCGTGGCCGTTGTTCGTCGAGGGCTGTGGGCAGCGGGATTAGCATGGGTCCTCGACGGTTTCCCTGCCAGCAAGGCGAGCCTGCACTTACAAGCCAAGCCTGCCTGCCACCCGCTCGATGAACCCGCACGCAAGCTGCCGAAGAGACTCTATCCGCTGGTCGCTCATAGTCTTCCTCGCCAGCCCGCCGCTCGCCTCGCCGGCAGGACCCTCGGCTCCACCCAAGGTTGACGCCCTTGACTGCGCCTGCAAATGTACAAGATGCTCGACTTCGATAGGCGCGTAGAATGGTCGGAAGGAGCGGGTCACGGCGAGTGGAGGGGGAGAGTCTGGGTTGCGTGGAGCGCGCGGCTCGGGTACGCCTGCAAGCTGGGCCATCGTAGCAGCACGTCACACTGCTCAGCAAGCCGTCTCGATCCGTAGCGAGTGAAGTGTCGGAGCGAGAGAGTCGCTGGCCAGGTTGGCTCGCGACAACAACGCTCGAAGCTCGCTGGTTGCTAGGTTCCGTGCAGAGATGGCGCAGGATTACTCGCGCGCCATCATCCACTCGCTGTTCTCGCCGAACAAGGAGACGGGCCAGCCAGGTTCGTCCTCATCAGCTCTCGCTCGAGTTGCCGGTGTTTGCGCTGACACGGCTCGACGGGAGCAGCCCAAGAGAGCTTCATTGCGTACGTGCAGACATCCGAAGACCAGCCAGGCTCGACCCAGCGCAAATCGCGCTTCCTCATCCTCTCTGGTCCGTCCTCGCTCGGGCTCCACTTCGTCGACTCGCCGCTCACACACGCTGACTGGGGCTGTACGCGCGCGCAGCACTGCGAGACGGACGCTACAAGCTCCACAAGGCGAAGCAGAATGCGAACGGGTCGTTTTCGATAGGAAAGACATGGGCGCTCGAGGACTTGCAGAGAGTCGAGGTTGGCAAGGTACGTTGTGCTGCCGTCCAGCCAGCAGAGATGCACAGCGACTGATGACTCGTACTTCTCTCTGCAGCGTCTCGTGTCGGGTCGGATGCAGGTGCGTTCTGGCGGGCCAAAGTCGCTGTGTTCTCCTGCTCACCCTGTCCACCCTCGCAGCCCCTCGAGTTCACGCTCGTGATCAACAGCAAGACGTACAGATACGACACGGAGCTGCCGTCGTCGCAGCAGGCGATGTTTCTCGTGACCGTCGTGCGGTGTTGGCGAAGATACATGAACGGTCCCTCGCGTTTGACCGTCTCGTGCCCGAATCTCGCTCACTCGCTTCTGCATACAGGTCGAGGTCAGCCGGACCTGATTCTCGTCGGCTTCTCGGTCGACGCGACCAACACCGGCACGGCCCCTCCCGCTTCTTCCTCCGCTGCTCCTCCTCGTCCTCCTCGACCTTCTGTTTCTGCCGCCTCCGGCCAGACCAATTCCGCTTACGGTTCACAGCGGCCATCGTACTCTTCTCAAACCGGCCCCGATCGACCACCTCCCCGCGCTGAGAACGGCCAGCCTCCAAGCGCTTCTGCTCCTCCGACACGCCCAGCCGCAAGTCGATCAGCTTCGGGAAGCGAGCGAGGAGAACAGGACCCGCACGCGGCTCGTCAGCCTCAAGCAGGTCCGCGACCTTCCAACGCCTCGACGTATTCGGTCAACGGAAACCGCCCTCCTTCGCCTCGAAGACCGTCAGGTCCTAGCCTCGCCGACTCGACATCCCGAGCACCGCCAGCTGCACCTCGTCCAGCCGGACCGTCCCTCTCCTCCTCGACGTCGGCCGTCCCGCCGCATCTTCAACCGCAGAACCAGCAGCGCAAACCATCCGGCATTCCTCCTGATGCTCGACCACCTCCTCCACCTTCATCCTCCTCCGCGATGGGCCGAGACGTCTCAGCAGGAAGTGCAGGGAGCGCGAAACGAGAAGTCGTCGGGATGGGAATCGACTTTGGCGGGTCGGGCATGAATGGCGGAGGCGAGAAGAAGCCGCAGCCGGCGACAAGTCGACCATCCACTGGTGGGGGAGAACCGAAGTCTCGGCCAGCCACCTCTGGGTCCGCTCAGCCTCCCGCTGCGTCAACGCCTCCGATCCCGACTCGCAAGGCGACAACCGACGAAGCCCTCGATTCTCAGACGGTCCTTTCGAACGTCGAAGAGATGCTCGAAGGCTTCGAGTGGCGAGGAGGTCTTGGCGGGTCCAGTATGAGCGCCGGCGGCGACGGTTCGATGGTCGCGGGCGGGAAGAGCCGCAGCAAGGCGGACGAAATGGAGCGAAGGTTGATCAGCGAGCTGAAGGCGCTAGAGGCGGTGCGTTCAATCTCTCGCGCGATGGAGAAGCATGCGGGATCTCACGCTTCTTCGCGAGAATGCAGGCCTCAATTCACGCCATCATGGAGTCGGATGACCGCGTCGAGGGCGTCGTCAAGCAACTCGACGATGCACTGGCTGAGCTGGATAAGCTCGATCTGATGGTCGGGTTGTACAAGACTCAGCTGAACGTGCGTGTCCTGTACTATTGCTGCCGAAGCGTTTTATTGACAACCCGCGTCCCGCAGCTCATGACGGACGACATCGCGCATATCGAGTCGCAGAACCGTGGTTTGCAGGTCCAGACCTCGAACCAGCGCGCTCTTCTGTCGGAGATCGACAAGCTCATGTCGACTATCCACATCCCGGAGAGCGACCTCAGCGCGCTCGTCCAGGAGTCGCTCGAGAGTCAGCAGGGTATCGAGAAGCTCGAGCGGAGCGCAGTGTCGCTGTACAAGGCGTTGCTCAGTACGCGCGATACAGGTGCGCGGCGACTGCCCCAGACTCACCCACACTAGCTGACGCTGACTCGTGCATTCAGCTGTTGGCGACATGGCCGCCGCCTCCGAACGCGTCGGCGAGTACCGCGCCAAGGCATCGCAGTTCTCGAAGCGGGTCTTCGACTTCTTGTCCATCATGTTCAAGTTCCAGGTCGACCAGGTCCTCAACCCGAAGGACCCGTCAGCACGTCCTGCAAAGGGGACGCTGCCGAGTCACAGCGGACTGGAAGACTTTCTCGGACGGTACTGCGGCTTGATGCTCTTCATCAAGGAGATCGACCAGCAGCGGTATCAGCAGATCTGCAGCGTGAGTGGCGGTTTTGCCACACTCCGCCGGGGATTCGCTCACCCGATCGCTCTGCAGGCCTATTTCACCGCCATGAGCGACTTGTACCGTCGCGAGATCCAGGACTTGATGAACCATCTCCGTGGTCAGGTCAAGAAGGCGACGGACGACGAGTTGGAAGCGAGTGTGTCCAATCCGCCTCTTCGCTCGCCGACTTCTCGCTGAATCGTCTGCTGCGTAGGCTTCACAGGCAAAGACTCGCCTACGCTTCGCCAGCAATCTATCAAGCGCGTCGGTACCATCGCGCGGAGTCCGCTTGAAGGCGGTAAGAAGGAGAAGGACCGGGATGGCAGGTTCTCGGCGAGCGAGGCGAGTAGTCTCCCTGCGGTCCTCCTCATCGCTCGGCTTATTGTGCTCCACTGCGCAGGCTTTCACTCGAGCGCTCCAGCAGATCACGCCTCATCTCGGGCGGGAGCAGAACTTCATCTCCGACTTCCTCCACATCAATGCCGTTGATGCGTCGATCACCTTTGCCGACTACATGATGCTCGAGACCTTCTTCCGACGAGGCGCGTCCAACTACCTCGCTGAGCAAGCGAAGCAGGGCAAGCTCAAGGATGTCAGGGCGGCAATGGAGCTCGTCTTCGGCTTCTTCGAGGGCGAGCTGCGAGACTGGATCGAGGGCGTCCTTCAGAAGGACTCGATGTAAGCTCGCGAACGGCGAGTCAGAACATAGGTGCTTGCTAACCCGACTCTTTCCCCGCAGGCAAATCGTCGGCATCCTTGCTGTCCTCGACCGGTTCGTCCTGCGAGGGGAGGAGGACCACAACGAATTCCTTTCGCGGACGCTGCAGAAGCAGTATCAGCGGTCCCTCGCTGCTCTCGAGCGTTCCTGCGTACGCGCCGTCTCCTTGCGTTCGCTTCGGCCGCTTCTCACCAAAGATGTCCGGTCTCGCAGAAGGAGCAAATCCGCAGCATCGAGCAGACCAAGCTCACCCTCAAGAAGCGGAAGGGCGTCGTGCCCTTCGTTCGCGTGTTTCCGGTGAGTTCCGCTCCTAGTCTCGCAGTGTGCCGAGCGCTGACCCATTCTGTCTCGCAGATGTTCGTCGCCCGCATCGAGTCGCAGCTGGACGGCGCCGACGACCTCAACATCCGCAAGATCGTCAACTCGCAGTACGAGCGGATCGTCGCGACCATGTTCGACTGCCTGCAGCAGATGGCCAAGATGGACGGGGAAGGCCACGGCTCGGCTGGCGAGGGCAAGGACCAGCTCAACTACCATGTCATCCTCATCGGTGCGTGCACAGTCACCGTTCGGGCGAACAAGCTCGCGCTGACCTTTCAGACCCGCAGAGAACATGCATCACATCATCGCCGTCTTTTCGAGCAAGCAGAAGGTCCCAGCTCTCGCGCCTTTCGTCTCGCAGGCCCGCGAGAAGTACGACCAGAACCTGGCAGCTTACATTCGGCTCATCCTACGGCGACCGCTCGCACGGCAGCTCGTGTGTAACCCTCGCTACCCTCAATCATGTGTGCCGCGCTGACAAAGCTACGCTCTATAGGACTTCTTCGCCGGTCTCGAACGACTCCTTCGCACGACCCCGCCGACTGAAGTCTCCCTCCACTCCGCCTACACTCGCTCAGCGCTCCGTCGAGTAACCGCCGACATTCGCGCTAAGGACCTGCGCAAGGCTATCGACGCTCTCTACAAGCGCGTTGACAAGCACTTCGGCGTCGACGTCGCCAACCAGGCGGCCGAGCACACGGACGTGCTCAAGACCGTTTGGAAGGCTTGCGAGGACGAGGTGACGAAGACCATCGCCGAGTGGAAGAGTCTCGTCGCAAAGTGCTACCCGGTGCGCTCGCTTATGTCGCTTGCTTTCGTCGCCGACCCTGACGCTCGTTCTCTCTCTTGCAGGACGAGAAGGGCGGCGGCATTGAAGTCGGCCGACAGGAGATCCACACATTCTTCTCGAACGCTCACATCTCATAGTCTCGCTTACGACTCCCGCCAAACGTCTGTATACCCGTGGCCGTGGCCCGCCTTCTTTCGATACCCTCCTTGTCTCTTAACATCGACTGTGCAGTGCAGCCAGCTACAGCAACTCGTTTCTGTCCCGCCATCGTGCCAATTCAGCGAGAGTGACCGGGAGTGTTTCAGCCCCGTGTACGGAGGGCGGTGTCGTGGCGAGGAAGGGGGGTAGCGTGACACGACCATGCTCGTGGATAGTGCTCGCGTGGTGACAGCCCTCCGCCTTTGTCATCGCTCAAGCCAGCTTGGTGCGTAGTCAGGGTCGTACTCGATCGAGCGAAGGTCGAACCGTTCAATGAGCTGGACAAGGGAATCGTTAGGCTGGCTCAGGTCCGATTATCCGACTTGACGCACCCGCAGATCCGCTATCCTTTCCTTGTCCTTCTTCTTCTTTGCGCCCCTCTCGATCTCGGCAGGATCGTCATGCACCCAGTCTTCGGTCGAGGGGAAGAACTTGCGGTACTCGGCTAGCGCGGCGTCGAGACTCCAGTCGCACATGAGGCGCAAGATGGCGGAGATGATGGAGGGCACGATTCTGCCTTTGTTGTCGTGGATGAGGACTGCGAAGGATTCAGCATCAGCCGGTGAAGGCGAAGGCTGAAGCGGCAGAGAGAGCCCGGCGCACTTGGCAAGTTCCGCGAGTCTGCGAGAGCATGAGGCCGTCAGCAAGTTGTGATGGAATGCGCTGAAACTAAGCATCGAAGGGCGCGAAGCAGGAAACGTACCAAGAACAACCTCGATAGCTTTCTTGATCATTTCGGGATCCACCTCGACCGCCGGATCCTTGCTGATGTCCAGCCGCAGATGCACAATCTTCAGGCCCTTCCGCCGCGCCCACGTATACGTGTCATGGCGATAGTTGTCGGTCGAGAGGTACCTGCGAACCCACACTCGCTCGTCAACCTCGTCGTCCTGGTCTCCCGCAAGCTCGCCACGGACACACATGATGCTCTTGAGGGTCAGCGTGTCGAGGAAGGGAAAGTTGCCCTTGTTTGGGTGTCCGGAGCGGTACACGCCTGCGAGGTCGAGAGGGTCAGTCCCGACCGGCCTCCTGCAGCTGGAGAGAGCTCGCACGCACCTGGAACGACCATGGCAAAGTTCAGCGGAGGGAAGAGGACCCCCTGCGTGTCCCGCCGTGCGACCAGCGAGTCCACCAGCGTCGCCATACCTCGTCGGGGAGATGAAGAACTGGTGGGGAGCAGGCGGCGTGAGGAGGGCGTGGCGAGCTCGTGTGACAGTCAGAGCCGGTGCAGAATGAGCCTGTCGAGCGAACGAGCGCGTCGAGCGAGCAGAAAGAGCGACTGAGCGGAGAGGAAAGGCGGCGAGAGTGCAAAGTCCCCCTCCTCGACCACGACGACGACCGATTTCGCGCTCTCGACGTCTCACAGACTCTCATACGCTCGTGTAGACACTCACGCGCTCGTGTAGACGCAAACCTCACGCAGCCACCTCGTGTAGACACGTCCCAATGCTTGGAATTTTCGCGCAAACCAGACTACGGAATACCTCGCTTTCCTCCAGCTTAGTTGCCCTCGGCCATCTCAGCTGCGAGCTTCTCAGCCTTGGCAACAACCGAGTCGATGTCGCCGACCATGTAGAAAGCGCTGCGAGGGAGAGTGTCAGGCGAGGAAACGAGGAATGGGGAAGCGAGAGGAGAACGCACTTCTCGGGGAGGTGGTCGTACTCGCCGGCGAGGATCGACTTGAACGACTCGACCGTCTTCTTCAAGGGGACGAGGGCGCCCTCGATACCGGTGAAGCTGCGCGAGGAGACGCAAAGAGTCAGGATGCGAAGAACCGGAAAGGGCGTGTGAGAGCGGACGTACACCTCGGCAACGGCGAACGGCTGCGACATGAAACGCTGGACCTTACGAGCCCGCTCGATAGTCATCGGACAAGCGGTGCTGGGTCGACGCGCAGACACGACTGCAGAAGCGTCCTTCCCCTGCTCGAACGCTTGCGAGTGTGCGTCCAAGTGAGCAGCGTAACGAGGAAGAGGCAAGGTCCCTGCAAACCCAGCAGTGAAGCGTCTTTCGATGCGGCTCCGCAACGTTTGCGCCAAACGAGATCAGAGCAAGGGAGGCCTCGCCGGGAGTCTGATCCGGCGGGTCAAGCGGGGCGCTCAGCACGTCAAGCGAGCGCGAGTGCGCACACGTGCCATCGAGGCTGCGGCAAAAGCTCTTTGTTGTCCGGCGCGAAAGCGGGGCGGAAGAAGCCGCACGAGGTGGACCTCTTGCTTCACCTCCTTGCCCGCTGTTCCCCCGTTGGGCGAGTAGCCGCATAGCGTCACGAGGCTGTATGCCGCAGTAGCAGCGAATTGTGACAAGGTCGAAGCTGGGCAGAGGGAGCGGAGGAGAGTTGCCAAGCCCAAAGTCGTTTTGCTGAGCTGCCGACGTCGAGTCTGAATCTGCGCAAGATGCAACGATCAGAAGGCAACGTCCTTTGCCTGCGGGCGGGTGTGAAGACTGGCTTAGTACGGCACACACCTGTCAAACCTGCGGAAGACGCCTTTTCCCCTCTGAACCTCGTTCCTTTCGGTCGCTCGACTGCTTCGAGCGTGTCCTCGTGATGCAACGACGTCCAGCCCTTCTGCCGCGCCCACGTGTACGTGTCGTTGCGATAGTTGTCCGTCGAGAGGTACCTGCGAACCGGCACTCGTTCGTCAACCTCGTCGTCCCGCCTCTCCCGCAAGCTCGCCACGAACGCACATGATGCTCTTGAGGGTCAGCGTGTCGAGGAAGGGAAGTTGTCCTTGTTCGGGTGTCCGGAGCGGTACACGCCTGCGAGTTCGAGGGGGTGAGCCTGCGTCTCTGCACTTCAAGCCTCGAGCAAAGCTCGTACGCACCCGGCACGACCATGGCAAAGTTCAACGGAGGGAAGAGGACGCCCTGCGTGTCCCGCCGTGCGACCAGCGAGTCTACCAGCGTCGCCATGCCACGTCGGGGAGATGAAGAACCGGTGGGGAGCTGGCGGCGCGAGGACGGCGTGGCGAGCTCGCGTGACAGTCAGAGCCGGTGCAGAACCAGCCTGTCGAGCGAACGAGCACTTCAAGCGAGCAGAAAGAGCGACGCAGCGGAGAGGAAAGGCGGCGAGAGAGCAAAGTCCCCTCCTCGACGACGACGACGACCCATTTCTCGCTCTTGACGTCTCAACGACTCTCATACGCTCGTGTAGACACTCAAGCGCTCGTGTAGACGCAACCCTCACGCAGCCAACTCGTGTAGACACGTCCCAATGCTTAGAATTTTCGCGCAAACCAGACTACGGAACTTCGCTTTCCTCCAGCTTAGTTGCCCTCGGCCATCTCAGCCGCGAGCTTCTCAGCCTTGGCAACAACCGAGTCGATGTCGCCGACCATGTAGAAAGCGCTGCGGGGGAGAGCGTCAGGCGAGGAAGGATGGGAAAGCGAGAGGAGAACGCACTTCTCGGGGAGGTGGTCGTACTCGCCGGCGAGGATCGACTTGAACGACTCGACAGTCTTCTTCAAGGGGACGAGGGCGCCCTCGATACCGGTGAAGCTGCGCGAGGGGAGCGGAACGAGTCAGGATGCGAAAGACCGGAAAAGGCGTGTGAGAGCTGACGTACACCTCGGCGACGGCGAACGGCTGCGACATGAAACGCTGAACCTTGCGTGCGCGCTCGACGGTGAGCTTGTCAGCCTCGGACAACTCGTCCATTCCGAGAATGGCGATGATGTCCTGGAGACCCTTGTAGTCCTGGAGGAGCTTCTGGGTCGAGGTGGCGACGTCGTAGTGCTCCTGTCCGACGATACGCGGGTCGAGCATGCGCGACTTGGAGTCGAGCGGGTCGACGGCGGGGTAGATACCCAACTCGGCGATACCACGCGAGAGGGTCGTGGTCGCGTCCAAGTGGGCGAAGGTGGTGGCGGGAGCCGGGTCAGTCAAGTCGTCGGCAGGGACGTAGACGGCCTGGACACAGGTGATCGATCCCTTCTTGGTGGTGCTGAAGCGCGAGGCGAGGGGCGAAAGTCAGCTTTCGACCTCACAATCGCACGAACGCGCCGCGACTCACGTGATACGCTCCTGCATGCCACCCATGTCGGTGGCGAGGGTGGGCTGGTATCCGACAGCCGAGGGGATACGACCGAGAAGGGCAGACACCTCCGAACCGGCTGTGCGAGGACGAATCCGTCAGCTCGGGTTCTTCAACTCGCGCAACTCGCTCGGGAACACACCCTGGGTGAAACGGAAGATGTTGTCGATGAAGAGAAGCACGTCTTGTCCCTCCTCGTCGCGGAAGTACTCGGCGATGGTGAGACCGGTAAGGGCGACACGGGCACGGGCGCCGGGGGGCTCGTTCATCTGTCCGAACACGAGCGCGCACTTGGACTTGTCGTTCTCGAGCTGGATGACACCGGTCTCGATCATCTCGTGGTACAAGTCTGCGCGAGCGAGCGGGGTCCGAGCCAAGGTCAACCAAGGTCGGCGACAAGAGGGAAGGCCCGCGACGCACCGTTACCCTCACGGGTACGCTCGCCGACACCGGTGAAGACAGAGTAACCACCGTGGGCCTTGGCGACGTTGTTGATGAGCTCCTGAATCAAGACGGTCTTTCCGACACCGGCACCGCCGAAGAGGCCAATCTTTCCACCACGGGCGTAGGGGGCGAGGAGGTCGACGACCTTGATGCCGGTCTCGAGGACCTCGGGCGCGGTCGACTGGTCGACGTACGCGGGCGGGTCGGCGTGGATGGGGAGCGTCTTGACGGCCTTGATCGGGCCGCGCTCGTCAATCGGCTCGCCGATGACGTTGATGATGCGGCCGAGGCAGCCAGGTCCAACGGGGATCTGGATGGGCGCGCCGGTGTCGACGCAGTCCTGGCCACGGACGAGACCCTCGGTACCTGCGCGTTCGCCCAACTCGTCAGTGCCCGGTCGACTTGGATGTGCGGCGCGCGCGACTGACCGTCCATGGCGATGGTGCGGACCGTGTTCTCGCCGAGGTGCATGGCGACCTCGAGAACGAGGCGCTGGGGGGTGCCCTGGATCTCGAGGGCGTTGAGGATGGGCGGGAGGTCCTCGGTGTCAAACTGGACCTGCGTGGCGGATAGTTCGCGTCGTTCGCGAGTCAGTCCCAGTCCATCACACTGTCCACCGACCCTCCAAGCGAGCCCCTAGCGCTGTTGCTGATGGAGAGCGAGGAGGGGGGCGAATGGGAGCGCGCGGACGCACATCGACGACGGCACCGATGACCTGCTTGATCTTGCCGACCTTGTTGCCGGCGGCGGTGGCGTAGGCACGGGCTGTGGCATCGTGCAACCCGTCAGCGTGTGTGCGGAACCCGTCAGCGTGTGTGCGGGTGGTGCAGGGCGAGCGCGAGCAGGCGAGAGCGAGTCGCTCCGTGGCGAGGTCCCACCCTCGCCCGCGCAATCTCGCCGACGACGCCTCGCGCGGGTGTGCTACGTGGGCGAGTCGGGTTCTGTAGAGCAGCACGGTGGACTGGGACACTCACGGGCGGCGGCCTTGAGCTGGGCGGGGCGGGGGAGGGCGGCGCTGGCGACCTGGGCCGGGGACGCCTTGGTCGCGAGGTTGCGGGCAGCGGCAAAGACGGCCTGGTTCTTGCGGGCGGCACGGAGGGCCGCGCGGTTGAGGGTCTGCACCCTTGCGCCACGGAGCATGGTTGCGTGTGAGGGGGAGCGGGAGAGGGAGGGAGCGAAGAGAGAGAGCGCAGACCCCAGCTCGCCCACGTCAACCCTCACACCCTTACACCTCGACTACCACCCGCTAGAACCACCTGGACAGCTCGCTCGACTGCCACTCACTCGCACAGTCACGCCGGTCACCCACTGGCGAAGTCGCAGCTGCTCCCGCTCGACGGACGCCGCTCAAACGCCCTGAACGTTCTCTCGCCCTCGCTCAACTCGCACGCACCCGGACGGGCCTCGCTGGCGTCCTGATCGGTCGTAGAGCGATGCACTGAGTTTGTTCAAGCTGTTACCGAGGCGGAATGAGCCAAGGAGGGTGGTGGAGCTCGTCTTTCCTCGCGACTTGCTCCTGAACTCACTCGTTTCGACGCTTCTGGCGTTCTACTCGACTCGCGCAATCTTCGTGGAGCTCGCATCGACGCTGTGAACTGTCTATGCGCTTGCCGTTGATCCCGCTCGGCTGCCAGACTGTGTTCGTTCGGCGGGAACCTTTTCCTCGTCTCGCCATACCTGCCTCCTAGCGCCACAGACGACCTTACACCTCCCGCACGACTCGCTCCGCATCACTCACTGCTTGCAAACAGCCTCGCGTCGCCCGCGAGACCCTCGAGACGCTCCCCGCTCAACCTTGATCGTTCTCCTCGCTCTTCACGCCGCAAAGCTGCCTCCTCCGCCTGGTCTCTTCGCGATGCTGCGCTCGACGTCTCATAAATTTCCTCTCGTGCTACGTAACCGATGAAACACGGAGATAACGAACAAGCACTTCCAGTTCCACAACCAACAGCGAACACCAAACCGACAGACAAAAACAGTCTACAAGCGCTCCTTGCACTTCCCTTCTCCCTCTTTCTCACCCTCTCCTCCTGCCTCACCACCGTCGTCAAACTCCTCACCCGAACCTCCCTACTCCTCCCCCTCCCCCTCCACCGAAGGAAGAGCCAACGCCAGAGCGAGTGGGGACGAACGGTCTCGGCGTTCCTGGTACTGCAGGTCGCGTGGAGGAGAGGGAGAAGCGAGGAGGGGCTGGAGTCGAAGTCGGAGGAGGTTGAGGAGGTTGGTAGGAGGAGGAGGGGCGGAAGGAAGTCGAGGTCGAGATCGGGGCTGTAGAATGCGAGAGGGATAGTCAGCTGCGTGGCAAAGTACTAGTGCTGTGCGGCGGCTAGAGCGCTAGGAGAGTCTAAGGGAGTGTGAGCTGCAGGGTGAAAGCGCACCGAAAGGCGTCCCGACTCTCCTTCCTCCTCTATCGTCGTCCGTGCCCGCCCACCCGCCGTGACTACCTCGCGCTCCTCCCTGCGCATGACCAAACGGCACAGGCAGAGGCGGAGGGGGCATCTCCTCCCTCTCCCTCTCCCTCTCCCTCTCCCTCTCGAGCAAGGCGGGCGGTTTGAACTGGAACGGACTTGGGTCTTCGTTCGCTGCGGCGTGGTGAGCGTGAGCATGGGTGGGTGTGGGAGGGGGTCGGTGAGAGGCGCGCGAGCCGGAGGCGGAGGGGTTGTAGGCGAAGCGGCTGTGTATACAAGAGGCAGGACGAGCACGTCAAGTCAGCTTCGCGGACGAAGTCACTTGAAGACGATGCTGCGCTCAAGACGCACGCAAGTTTCTCCCTCGCGCTCTCTTCCCTCCTCTTATCACCGCTCGCACTCGCACTCGCACTCCCACCCACGCTCCCGCTCAAACTCTCCCCAACCCTCCTCCTAACCCTCTCGCTCGCCTCCCTCTGACTCCGCGGCGTGAGCGACAACCTCTGAGGACCGTTGGGCAGGGAATGTGAGGCCGAAGAGGCGGAGCGAGGGGGATGGGCGGTTGAGGGAGGGAGGGGGTGGGAAGGGGGATGGGGGAGATTGGAGAGGTGTGTTGCGGGACGGAGGGGGAGGGCGGAGCTGTGCGTTAGTTGTGCGAGGGACAAGCGGGTTAGTAGAAGGAAGGAAGCAGGAGAGCGGCGAAGCGGACCGGTCGTCGGGCGAAAACTCTGCCTTGCGTTTCTGGCCGCGTGGCGTCGGGGCAGCAGATGGGCGACCTTGAGCAGCGTATTGTTGTGCAGCATAGTCTTGAGCAGTAGAGAAACGTTGCTCTTGCGCTTGAGCGAGTTGCGTCTTCAGGCGAGCGTTCTCGGCCGCGAGCTGCTCGGCTTGCCTGTGCATGCTCGGGTGGTGAGTAGCCTCGTCCCGCAGCGTAGAGACGAGGGATCAGTCTGGGCAGCGCACGCCTTGATCCCCTTGACCTTCTTCAGCTCCGCCCCGACCCTCGCAAGCATCTTCTTCTGCTCCGCACACTTGGCCTTGAAGAACCTGAGCTGCTCGACCAGATTTCCGACCTGCCACTCTGCCGCCATGCTCAGCTCGCCTACCAAGTCGCTCAAAGGCCGGAAGCAGGGCTGCAAGTCGCTGGCTTGGTCGAGGCGGACGACGGGGCCGAACGTGCCGCAGGCGGGACAAGGTCGTTCGTCGCTCTGGGCATTTTGGGAGGTGCTGGAGGCGATGCAAGCGTGGCAGAGCGTGTGCCCGCACGTCGAGAGGTAGAAGTCGCCCGGGTTGAGCGATGAGGATGAGCAGTCGGTTCGACAGCTGGTGCAGGCGATCCAGTCCAGTGGCGAGAGTGCAGTCGCCTGCCCTTCGTCCTCCAGCATCCTAACAGCAGCTCAGTCCAGCCAGCGAGGCAAGCGAGGTGTGTGGTCGCGGTGAGAGCAACTTCTCCCTCTTGACCAGTTAAGGCGAGCATGGCTGCCCAACCCGCTCTGGATCCACTCAAGAGCTACCTGGCGACTATTTCCGAGTACTCGACACCCCGTGTCCAGTTCTACTACTCGTCGCTGCCCTCGCGCAAACACTCGAACCCGACAGGCTACTCGGGCGCAATCTCGTGGTGGCGCAAGACGTTAGTCGATTTGGTCGCGAGGGGACTGCTCAGTGATGACAAGCTGCTCATCCACGTCGACGAGGAGCTGCGCGAGAAGCTGAGGTGGGATAAGGCGGGCAGGCCGTCCAGTCTTGGGGTAATTGTCGTGCGTTGCAGCGTCCTTCGTGGGGTTCTTTCGGCGTATACTGAAGCTAACAAGCGCTTTCTTCGCAGGCCGAACTCGCCCAGACGTCCGACCTCGTACCGACAGTCACCTACCTCTCCTCCCCCGAGCCTCAAACTCTCTCCGTCGTCTCCCTTCTCGCCCGGCCATTCTGGTGGGGCCTGTCGAGAATCTGGGGCTCGTCGCGTAGTATTGAATACGGCGAAGCGGCAGACGAGAAGGAGTGGGTGCGGCGGCAAGGAGACTACGTCGTCCCAGATCTGGTCGAGGTGCGCGCGCAGTCTCCTCCATCAGCCCTTGAAGTCCTGCTGACGCTTATGTTACGCTCACAGCGAGCCGTTTCGAGCCTGCTACCAAAGCTGCCTGACTTGCACGCCGACGCCCTCTCCCGCCTGTACACCGTCAAGTCGTTCCAGGAGAAACTCGGCTCGCTCTGCTTGCCGAACGTCAAGCTTTCCGAGCGGGACTGTGAAGTCCTTGCAGGGTATCTTAGCAAGCAGGGACACTGCGCGTTCGATGGCAAGGTGAGCTGCGGCTGACTCCGCTGATAGCGCTTCCACCGCTGACCGTCCCTCGTCGGCACAGGTCATCAAGTTCGCCCCGCCACTCTCCGACCCCGCCAGCAGCTCCTCTCTCACCATCACCGACGCCGACCGCTCTACCATCACGCTCCTCACAACCCTCGCCACCCTCTCCGCCTCAATCACATCTCTCGAATCCCGCATCGCATCCGAACAAGCGCAGTTCGCCGGATATGCGTCGGAAAAGCGGATGGAGCTTGCGAAGGCGCATCTGATAAGCAGGAAGAGGGCGGAGAAGTTGTTGGAGGAGAGGGCGGGGCAGAGGACGAAGGTGCAGGAGGTGGTGTGGGCTATCGAGCGAGCTATTGGGGACGAGGAGGTGCGTTCGCGTCCTCTGCGTTCGTTTCGATCATTACTGACGTTTCTTGTGCTGGCAGACGATGTCGGCGCTCTCGCTCGGCACCTCGACCCTCCGCACCATCCTCTCCTCTCCGACCCTCCAGCTCGACAATATCGAGTCGACCACCTCTCTACTCGACGAGACGCTTATCTCGGCACAGACAGTCAACGAGGCTGTCGACTCTGTCTCGGCGCCGCTCGCGAGAGAGGTCGAGGACGAGGTGGATGCTGAGTTGCGGGAGTTGGTCGAGGCGGAGAAGCGCAAAGAGGGGGAGGAAGAGGAGAGGAAGGAGAAAGAAAGGGTCGAGGAGGCTGCGAAGAAGCTGGAAGAGGCGACGAAGGTGCCAGCAACGGCAGAGAAGCGAGAAGAGTCGGCAGAGCGGCAAGAGGAGCGGGAGAAGGCGCTTGCCTAGAGACCCAGCCTTGTATCTTTCATCTTTCGCAGACGCAACGAGTGCTATTACGACAACATTGCACCGCACGGGAGACTCAGACGCAATCTACACGAACATCATGACCACTCGCTCGCCGTACACGCCCTCCTGCCCCGCGCCGGTACTGCCTCTCCGTTTGCCATCCGTGAAACGCTCCTCATCCTCTTCACTCTCCAGCTCTTCGCCCCTCCCGCCCTTCGACCCCAAGTCTCGCAAGACCATCTCGAGCGTTCGCCAGCTACACGAGTACTTGAGACAGATCTCATCCGTGTGATGCGAGCCGTCAAACATGAGGGTGAGCGAATGAGGGTAGGTGACGAGTGGGCCTGTCGCGTCGTCGTCTTCGGGCAGCGCGGCGGGTTCAGAAGCGGGTTGAGCGAGAGTCGAGTGTTGTGGTCGGGCAGGCGCGTCTCGCGGAGGTTGCGCACCGTCGAGCGATGTCTCGAGTCGACGCTTTGCGCTCGTGTTCGAGCCGCGGTGCCGCCGTGTTCGGTTCGCGCCGGCCGAAGCGGCGGTACCGGCAGTTTCGCTGATGGCGGATCGCGGCCGCAGAGTCGGGTGGTCGAGCCAGACTGGGAAGGCGTGCACTCGTCGCAAGAAACCCTTGATGACGCCGAACTGAATCATGCGACGGACGTCAATGGGCTGCGTGTCGAGCGAGAGGTCGTCCATCCAGTCGCTGACCGCCAAACCGGAGCGAAGTCGCGAGTAGTAGGTGAGAAGAGTGGCGAAGGGGACGGGCGTTGCGTCGCCTGTGCGTCGGACTGTCAGCCCGTGAGTGTGCGGACTTGGCAGGAAGACTTACGCGAGCCGTTGAAGACGTAGTTCTCGCACTCGGTTCGCAGGTCCGTCACGCCCTCATCGTCCTCCTCGCCGTACTGCGCCACGTCTGCGATGTCGGGCAGAACCGCATACGAATTGGAGAACTGGAAGATGTCGACGATGATGACGGCGTTGTAGTAGCTGTGCGCGGGGAGCGAGGTCAGCGATTGATCTCGAGGTAGACTAGCCGTGTGGGCTCGGCGACTGACACGAGGTGCTGGATACACTGCCTTGCGAGATACAAGTCGACCTCGGCGAGTTCTGCGATCCGCTTGACGTGGTTGACGCCGTCGATGAAGCTGCAGATCTGCGCAAGTACGAAACGGTCAATTCAGGACGCTGACTTCCCAGACGCGTGTCTTACCTTGAATAAGGTGACGTCCCACGAGTAGCTCTTCAGCTGCTCAATGTTGGCCACAGCGAGCGGGACGTCCCAGATCTTGACGTCGGGAGGATTAGCGTAGAAGGGAAAGAGGCCGAGTACGAGGTCGGTGTCGACGAGGGGAATGCTCGTCTCGCAGTAAGCGTTCAGGTCGAGGTACAGCTGTTCGAGAAGGTTGGCCATCGAAAAGGTGGGCGGAGGCGACGAGAGCAGGGACGACTGCTCCTCCATCTCGCGTAAGGTCCGACCCGTCTTGCGCACGACCGGCTCGAACACGGACAGCTCGGCATCGCGTTCGAAGACGAAGCAGAGGTTAAAGATGAAGGCGTTGCGGTTGTAAACGGCCTGGCTACCGTGGTATTTCTCCTCGTCGACGATCCGGACGGGGAAGCCGAGAATCTTGGACGTCCGCGTCGCCTTGGTGATCAGGTGACCGCAGAGCTCGGGTTTGGGGATGACAAAGTCGATGATGGACGCAAAATCGAAGAGGACAGGGTTGGCGCGAGGAGCAGCGTCGTCTGTCACGTCGACGCCGCGGCTGGCGGTTGACGCGGGTGACAGCGACGCTCGAAGTTCGTTTGCCGGCGTCTCTGACCGCGAGGGAATCGTCGAGAGCGCAGTCGCAACGCTTCCCTCAGGAATCTGGTGCACCACTCGAGGACCAACTGTCGGGTCGAAGACGGCTGCATGCGGGCGAGGGTCAGCTGATCCCGTAGAGCAGACTCGCAGTCTAACGCACCGTAGAACACCGCGACCAGGCGAGGCGTGTAGGATCCCGATTCCTCCTTCAACGACTGGCGGTTCAACACCATCCCAACCGCTCAGCGCGCCGTTTGAGCGCTCTACTCGGTTGTAAGCAGTCGTAGCTGCAGCTTGAAGCCAAGAAGCAAGCCTGAAAAGCGAGTCGACGGTGTTGGGCAAGTCCAACCTCCGCATACAACCGCTTCGCGCCGTCCACGCCGCTCGTCTCGCGCTTTGCTGCTTGCTGAGCTGCCGAGAAGCATGCCAGGAGTACTGCGACACTTTGCCTCGGCGCTGCCCACGACCGCGGCGCGCTCGTCCCCGTCACCCCTCGCCGCTCTCTCGCGACCCATCGCACTCCCTCAGGTTGGTTTCACCGCCGCTGCGTGGCGTGCGACCGGCTGGCATGGTAAATCAGTGACTCGCAGCTTCCATGCGACTGGCGGTGCGTCCCTTCGCTGAGCCACTCGCCCGGCCTACCCTCGTTGACTTTCCTCGACTTCGCGCAGTGTCGGCTCACGGCGGCAAGGGACGGCCAAAGCCTGGCGAGGGGTACATTTGACTCCTTCCTAGAGATCTGTGATCTTTGCTGATCCTCCCATATACTCCCCTGCAGCGTCACCCTTCACTTCAAAAAGCCGAACGGCGAGATCGTGACTGTTGAGGCGAACGAGGGCGACGACATCGTCGACGTGTCGTGGGAGTATGACCTGGATATCGAGGGTGAGCTCTGCATACCGGTTGGTCGGAGGTGCCCGCTGACATTCCCTCTTCGTTTCCCCCATCCTCTCGCTCATTGCAGCTGCTTGCGAAAAGTCTGTCGCCTGCTCGACATGTCACGTCATTCTTGAGGAGAAGGTATACGACTCGCTTCCGGAGCCGGACGACGATGAGAACGTGAGTCTCGCGAGTCTTTGCTCAGCCTTGTCTGACCCTCCCTGTCCTTGACTGGTCCTCGTTGACACGACTTCGCTACACCACAGGACATGCTCGACCTCGCGTTCGGTCTGACGGACACGTACGTTTGGCACAGCTTCTTCCGCAAGAAGCGCTTCGAACCGTGGAAGGCTGAACCCGCTTTGCTCCCGCAGATCCCGTCTTGGCTGCCAGGTCAAGGTCACGAAGGACATGCAGGACACGACAATCACGCTGCCTAGCGCGACGAGGAACTTGCGGGTTGACGGTGCGTTGGCCCGCCCTCTCCCGTACCCTTCCTTCCCTTGCTCCCAGGGTTCTCACGCTTCGGAACGCCCGCAGGAAGCAAGCCTACGCATCACTAGCCTTTTCACCTGCACGCAATATTACTCGCATTCGCCAACCGCGACGTACTCCGACGACAGGCCCGCTTCCTGTTCTTGCTCAAGAGCGCTGCCGCCTGAGCGCTTCCTCTCGACCGTCTTCATCTCAGACCATCGTTACCGCAGACGAACGTTCGCAATCCGCATCGATCGCAGCCCTCCGGTGGCAAGCGGGTCTCGCTTTGACAGCTTCACTTCGCCTTCTCGGGCTGGCTCGCTCGCCTTGCCCTGCCGTCTTCAGCTCGGCACCCACAATCTACTGTAAGGAACCCCTTTCGAAGTTTGCTGCCTGGCTTGAACGGCCTCGAGAGTGCTACCGGCGGCTATAGGTGTCCGACACCGCAAGAACCACAAGGCCGGCGACGACGAGTCGAGCGACAAAGCTGCGAATGCGTGGCAGGAGAAGGGTATGGTCAGCTCGAGACTCTCGTCTGAGCGTGCTTCGTTGACGGCAGTTTCAGTACGCTGTGTAAGTAGCTGTACAGCTTTCGTTGGCGGAGTTGCTCTCGATGACGAGCAAGACAAAACCTTCGCGAGATGCTCTGTGCCGTCGCGCTGCTCGCGCTCGCCAGCTGCTGAAGATCATCACAACGGTCTAGTACACCGCTCCGTCCGCTACGCCGCCACACCGCCCGTCGCCTGCCTCGGCGCACTCGAGAACCTCCCCTCGTGCTCGCGCAGGAAAGAGGTGACGAGCGGGTAAGGCGGGCCCATCCACGTCGCTTTGGTAGTCTGCGCAACGCAAGGATCGTCAACAAGCATATCGAGGCGGCGGGCGGACGCGAAGGGTCGGGCAAGTGAGGTGGAAGGAGAAAAGGAAGCGAGGTGCAGAAGACGAACGTGGTCGAGCAGCTCCGAGTCATGCGTATTTGGGTGGATCAAGACTCTGTGATCATCAAGCAAGATCAGCGGGCTATCTTACCGTTAAGCGAGAGCTTCGAAGGGGGAGAGGTGGATGAGGAGGAGAAAACGCACGACAAGTCTCCGCGATACGCCACGAGGAAGCCGAAAAACGCGCCGAACTGAGCAGGAGTGAAGGTCTGTAGTCGTCAAAGCGCCGTGAGCATTTCCTCCAGGTCAGAAGCGGCGAGGAGACGCACATTGACCTCGAACATCGGTACGGGGTGCGGTCTGCGCGCATGAGCACCCGGTCAGCACTCTCCTATTCTTCAGTACACCAGCACGAACTTGCGGACACACCCAACGGGCTTCTCCCAGAACTTGTACACGCGAAGTTCCGGAAACTCGCGCCTGATCCGCTCGTGGAGGCGGCGGGCGTGATCCGTCTGTGCTTGCGAGGCGTAGTAGATGTGGAAGCTGGGTAGCGGACAGACTGGAGATCAGCACACGCGGATGAGCGGAACTTGAGCGGAATCACTCCGCAGAGTATACGCAATGAAGACCCCCTCGACGCACTCGAACGCATTGTTGCTTGTGTCCAGCTCTTCCGGGTAGCCCTCGTACCACTCTGACTTGTCCTTCCCGTCCGTCCTCGCCGGGTTCTTCAGCGACTTGCCGTCCGGGTTCTTGTCCTCAGAAAGCGGTGCGAGGTCGGCGGGGAGCGAGGCGAGCGGGTCGCGGTAAGAGACGGCGGCCATGGTGTAGCAGTGAGTTGATAAGAGCGGGAGACACAAGCGCAACCGTGCCGCTCAAGGTCTGACGAGCGACTTGGTCAGCGTGGTGGGGAGATGAGTGAGCGAGTGGCGGGGAGTAAGATGGTGTGGGACGGGTATGTAGCAGTTCAGCGAGGTCCTAGCAGTGCACTGGCAGGCTCGCAAGCCCTTCCAGCGGTATCGAGTGATTGTATGCTCGCAACTCCCTCCAGCTCGAAATCTCGCGAGTGAGGAACAGCTACACCGCTCGCTCGGCTCGTACTGGCACGGCTGCCTGCTAGAAAGATGGCTGAACAACAGCC